TGGGACAATTGACTTGGTACATTCCCAAACGTTTCGCCGGCATTATGGTCTGTATCGTCCTCGGGAAGTGTTATCGTTAGTACAGAGTTTTAAAACGTATCGAAGTGACAAAGGAAGGCCTCTCACTGAAGATGCTGACTACGATGACTAAGAAACGTTTGGGAATATACCAAGTCAATGGTCCGATGCTAGAAATTACGAACACTATGGCAGAGGTCACAGAATTATGTGCGTTCCACAAATTCTCCCTAACGCTCCAACCAAGTTGCAAAAAGAGGTCGAACCAACCCTATTAAGCTATAGGAGATTGCGACCAAACAGAAACTTCACCGTCTTGGTTTTGATATCTACGATATAATTATTGTCCCTTAATTAAGCATGTTGATGCGATTTTTCGTAAAGATTGGTTTTTTGGCCTGAAGATGTCTGTCACATGACAGACCAAAGTTCAGCGCAGGTTAATTGGAGTCACAAGACGGTGAACCACAGACTTATTTGCACAATCCGATATTATCCACTCCAAAGTAATCTTCTGTCGGTCTGAGGTAGGGACCAATTCAAGAATTCTTTCCCTCCAACTTTCTATTTGAAATGATAAGTCGAGTGACACTAACTTACCGTCTGGCGCGATCGGATAATACGGTGAGTCATCATTGGGATGGATAATGTTCTTCATAAAGATGGTCGCTTTGTCGGCCTCCAGCTGAAACGGATGAGCAGTGTAGAGAGGCAACAGCTCGAGCTGAACCACTGTCATCTCATCGTTGGAGTCCTTACGCAGGGACTCTGAGCTGGTGACCACTTCACTGTCCTGGTTGGCATGCCCCAATTCTGTGTCGAAATTGGTATCCATCACCGTGTCATCGAGGGAGGCCGCGATAAGGCTATCATTCGGATCAGCATTCTCCATGTCCGCGGGTCGGGGACGAGTGGGACTGGCGAATGAGTCGTCTGCGGGGCGTCGTAGACGAGGTTGTGGCCAGTCGTGCTCTACTTCGGCACTTGCATGGGCCTCTGTTCTGCGAAGTGAGGCCGGACTTGAGGCGCGGATCAATGGGAGGCTACTGCTTGAATTGTACCAAAGTTGATCGGAGGCAGTGTACAACCCTGATGCTTCGTCATTGTTCCAGCCCTCTAAGGCCCCCTTTCCGAATGAAGTGGACACTGGAATTAGATCTGCCCTGACTACAACTGTCCTTTATGCCTCCGCTGACGGATGGAAAACAAGAAGGCGTCTAGAATCAACCAAAGGGCACAGAAATTTGGAATATTTCCCCATTTGTTAGAACCGAAATTTACGATAAATGAATTATCACTCTCATTTCCATAAGCTGCAAATAGGAAGGAAGCCGACGTAATCTGAATGCTGATTAGACGAAAATTGGTTTTACTTCAAAATGGCTCTATTTTAACCCTGGGCAGACGCACAATAGGAATCCGATGCGCAAACAGTGCACGCATAAGTCCCGCATCACAGAGGCCGAGAGACTAACATGTGAAGAAATATTTTGCCAAAACTGTGCTCAAATTCCAGAAAACGTCTGAGGAAGAAAGACATAAATGTGCCAAGGACGTAAAGCAGGACGGGAAGGGCCAAAGGCCATCCTCAACGTCTTGAAGCCTCGTATCTTGACGAGCATGCGACGCAAGGTCAGTG